GGATCAGCGGAGCCTGATGGAAGCCCTGTGTGTTTATGCACCCTGGGGGTGCAGAGGTCCTGTCCTAGGCAGAGGCCTATGGCGAAATTTTTGACTCTGAGAAGCAGCCTACGGGCTGGAAGGCGGCTCCTCTGACCTCAGTGCTGGAGAAGACCATTAAGCAGAAAACTAAAGAAACCGATTTTACATCATTTCCCAGGTGTAGAACAGTTGGCATGTAAGCCCCTGACCAGTGCCCAGCCTCTCCTCTGTCAGTCTATCTCACTCTTAGGTACCATGTTCTTTGTTCTGTCTTAACTGCAACTCATTTTTAAACTAGATTGCTTTTAAAAGAAGACTAAATAAAGTTTCCCTTAAGTTATTTAGGTGGTGCTGGGGCTGCTGGGGCTGCTGGGGGCCTGATAGAAGACACAAACACGCAACGGGGGGCCTGTACCCAGCAGCCCCAAGGCCCGCCACCTTGGTGCTGGGGCTGCTGGGGGTATCAGAGACACAAACCCGCAGGCCCGGCACCCAGCAGACCCAAGGCCTTCGTGGCAGCACTAAGGAGCAGCAAGCCAAGCGGTAGGAAGCAGAAAGCAGGTGGGCAGTAAAAAGGGAGGGGTCCCGGACTGCAAGAGGGCACATGTTGGGCTAAGGGACCCCCCACCCATCCCCAGTGCACGAATTTCGTGCACCGGGCCTCTAGTACTTTAATAAAAAATAAATGCATTTTTTAAAAGAGAGTCTTGTCAGTTGGTTGGTTGTTGGTTTGACATCCTTATGATGAAGGTTCTAGATCAAAGCCAAAGCATGATCAATAAAATTTACAATATATTTTAGGAAAAGAAAAAATCAAGCAAATGTGGAACATTTTCAGTGAACCCTCTCGAGAGATGCTTTGGGACTGCCCTTCAGCAGGTTGAATTCTGGAGCCTGGCACATATGTCCTCGGCATCTGCCTGGGAAAGTGCAAGGGGGAGGTGGGTGGGCGCCAGGACTGTGTTACTCAAGGAGAGAGAAAATGGGTTGTTACCGATGGAGGATATTTTGGCAATGTGGAACCAATGCCTTAAATACAAGCCTACCTTCGGGTCCAGCAGTTTCATTTCTAGGAATCTATTGTAAAGAAACAGAGATGTGTATAGTGATTTACATATCTTTAACAGAAAAAAAAAATGGAAACCACCTACCAGTTTGATAAAGGAAAATGGTGTCAATACATTATGATTCATCCAGACAATGCAGTGCCACATTGAAAACTTCATGTTGTAGAAAAATATTTAATGACATGGATAAATATTTTCCATATAAATTCAATCTTTTTATGATAGAATGTTTTAAGTATGTACAAAATAGAGAAACTATTACACCAAACCCATCAACCAACTTCAAAAAGTATCTACTCATTTTCAATCTTACTTTAACTCCAATCACATTTTTTTACAGTCACACTATTTTTCTGCTCCTCCCTCCTTCCTTCCAACACACTGAAGCAAGTCCCAGAGCTGTTGCCACTGCACTCATAAGTGTTTCACCAACTCTCCCTAAAAAGATTAGGATCTTTTAAAAAACAAAACCACAACATTATTAACACACCTAAAAAAATGACAATAATGCCTTAATATCATTAACTATCTAGACCACCGCATTTAAATTTCTTCGATTGTCTCATAATGTTTTGAGCTTTTTCAAAAGTTGGTTTGTTCCTATTACAACCCAAACACAGTCCACAACTTGCATTTGGTAATAATAGGTCTTTTAAGTTTCTTTTAGTCTTTATGTTCCACCTCCCCCTCTTTCCTCCTTGCTATTACAATTGTTTGTTGAAGAAACTAGGGGTTTTTTTGTGTGTCCTGTAGAATTTCTCATTTCTTAGATTTTGCTAATAACGTCCCCATGTTATTTTAAACACATTTCTCTGTGTCCTGTATTTTCTTGACTTGATGTTTGCTTTTTGGCCAAAAATACTTTATTGATTGCTATGGACTAAATTGAGCCCCTCCAAATTGTCTCCCCAAATTAATTTTGTTATCAACTGACATAAATTTATTTGCTAGTCCTAACCCCCAGTTCCTCAGAATGTGACTGTACTTGGAGACAGGGTCTTCAAAGAGGGGATTGAGTTAAAATAAGGTCACTTGGGTGGGCCCTAATCCAATATGACTGATGTCTTTATAAAAAGAGAAAATATGGACTCAGACTCAATACAGAAGCAAGACCATAAGAAGACACAAAGAGAAGAGGACCATCTGTAAGCCAAGAAAAGAGGCCTCAGAAGAAACCAACTCTGCTGACACCTTGGTCCTGGGCTTCTAGCCTTCAAGACTGTGAGAAAATAAATTTCTGTTGTTTAAGCCATCCAGTCTATAATATTTTGTTATGGCAGTCCCAGAAAACTAACACATAGATAACACAAACTCATCCAAAGGCACATAATCCATTCTTGAGTAGGAAATTCTCTGGAGGGGAGAAAAATATATATATTATAAACAGTCATTTTAAAAAATCTATATAATAATATGGCTACTATTTCAGAACTCATTATATGCCTGCCAGGCATTATGCTACACACTTTACAGTCATTATAGTACTTATCCTTAGAACACCCAGCATGATAGGTATTATTGATACCATTTATAGATGATAAGACTAATTCAGAGAAATCCCAATACCAACCTCAGGACACACAACTAGTTAAGAGGCAGAGCTGGGACTCAAAGGCAGCTGCTGTTTAATTCCATCTGCAAGTCCTGGGCCACTTCTGTACCATGCACACAACCAGTGTGAGCTTGGATAATATCCATCGCAGCTGGGTGCCAGCCAAAATTGCTGAGTTCAAAGTGGAAACGAAAGCAGATAAAAGACAAAGTTCTCCCAATGAGAAATAGAGGACCACTTCTCTGGGGTGCCTGGCACCCCTGGTTTTCATAGTTCGCTCTGTAGTTGCTCAGCTCTCTGGTGGTGACTGTTACAATGACTGCAGGAGTGATTCCTCTCGGACCATCATGGAAAATCACTATGGCATTATCTTTCACAGACCTCCTGCCTCTTCCCTCGCTCCCTTAAGCCCACAACAAACCTGTACTTCATGTTCACATTCAGAGCTGCTGTGTTCTATTTTCATTTACTTTGGATCAGATTTCTTTTTCAATTTGCAATTAAGAAGCAGTGAGTGAGAGGCAATATAATGTTCAGGTTGAAAGTATGGGCTTTGGAATAAAGTCGACTTGAGTTGAAATCCCTGGTCTGTCCCTTTACCTGGGCGACTTTAGGTGAGGGCTTTATTTCCTCTAAGCCTCAGTTTCCTTGTCTTTAAAATGAAATTAATTATAATAGTACCTCACAGGGTGACTGTGACAATTAAAGTCTATAATGCATATAAAGCACACCTCACAAGACCTGGAAGTTAATATTAAAAAAATAAAAAATGGTCACCTGAGCAGTGGTTAGAGTGGCAGCCAGCACACCGAAGGGTAGCGGGTTTGATTCTCCATCAAGAGCACGCACTGGGGTTGCAGGTTCAATCCCCAGCCCTGGTCATGCTTGTGGGTGTGGGAGGCAACCAATTAATGTGTTTCACATCAATGTTTCTCTCTCTCTCTCTCTCTCTCTCTCTCTCTCTCTCTCTCTCCTTCTCTTCCCTCTCCCTCCATCCCTATGCAAGGGGTGAACTCCACCATGGAAAAGCAGGTCAGATGACACTGGTGACTTTGTCACTAGCAATACTGGACCAGAAAGTTTCAGGTACTCTTTCCTTCCCTATACTGACTCCCAGATCACATTTACTGTTTTTTCCAATGACTTTTTAGCTATTTTATTACTCAATCAACAAGTGGCATTGACTTTGAACATTACAGTCTGGGTACAACTAAATAGCAGTGAATCTACAAAAAGAGCCGAGAACCAGTTTCTTCCTGAAAAGTCTGGCCACTCGCTTTGACCAGCAGTGGGAAATTTCAGGTCTGTTAAGCATGTGAAGCTTAACCTTTCTGTGTCAGTCTACATTGGTATTATCTCCCCCGATTCCCCCGGAGGAAAAGTGCGCTATGTTTAGGACCAGCAGCTGTGTTGATGACATCAGTGTGATGTAGTCGGGGTGGTCTACCATCTTCTCTCGGTTGCCGGAGGCATCCACTTCTTCACACCCTCCTGCTTGCTCTTCTG